GCGACGTATGGAAGGGGAACGCCTTCATTCGGGACAGCCGGCAACCGGCTCAACTCGCGGACTAACTCAACATTACACGCGTTGATTTACAAGCAGGCCACTCCGCCAACCCAACCCGCACGCTTGACGGTGCCCAACACAAAAGAACATCCGCGCCAAAACTTTTTCCCAACTTTCGTTTCCCCACGGCATAGCGCTCGCGACGCAGAGCAGTGTGACACTTGCCGCCTTCCCACCTCCTCGGAGGCCCCTCCCTTCCCGACTCGTGGTGCGATATGGCGAGGTATCGAAGAGTCGAAATTCGATACTTTTACCCTCCGACGAGGCGAGTATCGAGAGTGAGCGTGGCTCCGTTTCCGTCGAAAAGCGGGGGTCGAGAATCCAATTTTAATGCGCGGCCCGTCAGCGGCGTAATTGAACTCGAACGCTATCAGCATCGATCGGCGGTCTCGTCAGATGCGGGAAAGTGAAAACGATTAAGTTTCGTCCGACTCGGGTCTTAGCTGACTTGGATGCGAGTCATGCAATAGCACCATCTACAGCGGCACCGTATTTTGTGAGCCCGTGTACACTAGTGTCCCTTTATACCGAGAGTTTGGACACTGTGAATCCATTTCTGATTGGTTTCCGTATTTTAGGCCTCCTTAGTGTGACAAACGGGAATAAAGATTACATTTTCAGCGATTGCAAATATTATTATCTGGAATAGACCGGGGAACAACGGGTTCGGCAAGAAACAAACGGAATTTAAGAATGAGCCGATCAAAGGTTACGAAAAACTTTCAATTTGTGTGATCTTTATTCCCGTTTGTGACTCCATGAGGGGGGTTGTCTTAACTTTCGGTATAGAGGGACTCTTTAGTGTACACTGCCGTGCTAAGGAAAAACGCCGTATGAGCCTTTAGGCGTTGCCAGATTTCCTTCAATAAAAGCCGAATTTACTGGAAACATTTTAATATTTTTTTTTCACAATATTTCGGCAATTTTGCTCGCAACTTGATCTAAAATATCTAAACATCTCAAGAAAAAATACAAATATCTTTCCTCAAAAATACCTGTTATATCCGCGGAAATTCGGCAATTTTTGAATGTTCATACGACGTGTTTCCTTGGCACGGCAATGAGAAGTTTGTCGTCAACGAGCCGTTTTTAATAAATTTGGTTGCATAGCAAAAATAATTATTTGTTTGACACACTTATTTACCTAATTTTAACAATGAAGTTGGAAAATTACACTGTTCTTGGGTTGGGTAAGTAACTTGGTTTGCCGAAAAGCAGACTTCCCTTTATGTTTTACTTTATTGGGGGTCGATCTATAATCTGTACCAATAAGATCAAAATTAAAATGAATGGAGAAGTCCTGCCTCTGCACTAAACGGACTTGGTATTATCTGGTATGAAGATTACGGCAGTATTTTTTACGATGACACGCCTTGCGTGGTAATTTTATCCAGTCAAGATTTGAGTTTTTGACTTTTTAACCGTTTCTATTCTTATTATTTCAACATTTTCAAAAAATAAGACGCACGATACCTTTTTGGCTAAGTTGAAAATTTTACCTTGTTAATTTCATTACGAATGGTGAAACCTTGAACATGAGCATACCGTGCAAAATTTTCAAAATTAAACTGGAAGAAAAATTGTCTAAACCATCAATGCGGCCACTCAAAGCTTACCGCGAATAACCCTTATTTTCTAATAAGAGTTATTCTGAACTCTACCTGGGGAAGTAATGTCGCTGATACATATGAGCCTCAGATATACAGGGTGAGCGAAAAGTCCCCGACCCCCCCTCTAACTTTTGAACGAATTGAGCTAAGGAAATGAAACTTTGGGAATGTTCCTATCTCAAAGGGGACCATCTTTTGAGGGGGTCAAAATTTTGGTCCCCCCCTCAGGGGGGGACAGGGGCCCCCCAACTTTTTTTTTTCAAATAGGAACCCCTATCTTGTGATACCTCATTCGAAAGAGCATAAAAAACTAAGAATTTTGGCGCAAACCGCAGATCAATATCTCAATTTTTGACCGAGTTATGATAGGTCAAAGGT